TCCTCTGCTTCGACCTCAAGATCATCCGCTGGCTCTTCTTCCTCTTTTTCTTCCTCTTGATATTCATTGCCATCCTCTAGCTCGTGTTCTGCCACGTCTTGATGTTTGACGGCGTCGTATATATACTCCAACGAACGTAACGCGATGATGCCATGCTGAACATCGTCAAGATCTAGAGACAAGTCGTTCTTTGCATACTGTCGGAGATGCTCCTGTGCTGAGATATCGATCCATTCGACAGTGCTGTTATCTAGATCCCACTCGTTACCTCTCAAGGTAAAGAATGCACCACAGCGAACTATGTATGCTTTCAGCTTGTCCACATCGTTGCGATGTTCCTGAGGCAGCTCGGCCATGATCGCAAGTTCGCGCATGGTGGGCGCTACATACGCCGAGATTCTGCAACGCAATATCTCTTTCGTGTATTCATGGCCCTCCGCTTGTGGGTTTAGGACGCGCTTTCGCACGTGCTCAAACATGTCGGTCAGACCATACGGAAATGACTCCAACAGTCTTCGGATCTGTGCGTGCTGTGTAGATCCGTGAACCCACGCGTTCTTGACTTCTTGTACGACGAGACTAACGTAGATCCAGTTGTCTTCCGCGCGCGAGTAGATGTGGCGCTTCACGAAATATGCCAAAGACCTTGGAAGCTCCAGCTCGTCGACGCTGTTTGATATGTGCGCTTTGAGGTCGTCACTAATCTGCGCAGAGTTTTCCGCGTCGCTCAAATTGATCTCCAACGATCGCGGTCTCAAGCATCCCTCAATGTTCGGGCGGCCGCTGCGATTGAGGAGCAGCCATCTGACGGGTTGACACTCCTCTTCGTCGTTTGCCGTAGCCTCGGTGTCTAGCGTCTCTGACATGTACCGCAAGAATTGTCCTAACGATTCCTCCGCAAGCTGCTCCACACCGTATACCACGATGTAGATCTTAGTGTTAGGCAGATCCCGCGCCATCTTATGTAGTGCTATCCATAAAGCGGGCACCTTAAGTATCTCCTCGGTGTCAAAGCTTTGCTTTCCAGCGTCTTTGCTACTCCGAGAATCCGAAAGCAGGTGTCGGGCAAGATCTTGGTCCATGTCGATCATCTGGCGGACAGCCATTTGCAGCAAGCCTTTGAGCGATCGTCGCATTGTGTCGCCCTGGTCGCAGAAGAACGATATGATCATTGACTTGTCTGCTTGTGCATTTCGGAGAAGTTCAAGAGCGGAAGATGCGATCGCACCTTGGCCCGTACCGGCCTTTCCATGAATCCACAGGATAGGACTTGCATTCGAATTCTTCCAGGTCTGAAAGTTTTCGATTTCCAGCACTGATGATGACTTCGTACCCTTCGCTCCTGTGTACGTGCCCTTTACGGCGGCTTCTACGTCGGCGAATCCTTTGCCGAGGGCATCCATCATGCTGTGGTAGGTACGATCATCGACTTGAGATTGTCGAAGCATGTTCTGACGCGTCTTGATGATGCTATCCGCCTTGTTGGCTGTCTCACGGATCTCATCAGAGACGGAAGTGAAGTTACCGTCCTTTGGCCCAGGGAACTTGTTGAGTTGGAAATGATCCGACATGAGAGAGATGCTGTCGAATGATTCGATTGTTGCCGAAGATTGATCCACGATGCGTTCTTTACTCTTCAGCCATGTGATTCCCTTCACGAGGTAGTTGACCAGGTCGCTGTCATTTTCTTCCCAGAAGCAAAGTAGCCGAAACTGAGCCTCTCGCGCCATGTAAGAAAACTCAGTGAGAAGACTGCGCAATATATCCGAGTCTTTTTCTAACACCTTGAGTAGACTAGAGGGCGTACCCCAGCCGGCGACTTCGGCCATGGATGCTAGCACCATTGCCTTGGACTGGCTTGACGTGCCGTGAAAAGGTGTACCGAGGAAGAAGCATCCCGCGATCCAAGGATACACGTTGGGAAAGTCTGTTTGGCGTGATCTTGACATAAGCAGGGCCTTCTCGAGAATAATGCCCCCAAGACAATGTGAGATGAAGATGATGGGCGTTTTGGTTTCGTTCTCCAATACGTTGTTAGCATGTAGTCATCACGAGTACGTGCTAACTCACCACTCGTGACCTGTCGAGGCTATGTAGTAGTTTGTTCGCGACATTGTCGATGCGTTCGTCGACCGATCCTTTTCCGAACCACTGCGACTGATACTGGAAAACGCTAATCTTGGCATGTGGAATCTTCTTCGGAAGCATGTTGGCATCGCGAAGCCAATGCACTTTGCTCTTCTTCCATGTATATTCGGGGTCCGCTCCCAAGCCTGGAATGGCGATGATCCTCGAAGTTATTAGCTTTTGAGTCTCGCGTTGGATTTCCAGCCACCTACTCGATTTTGGCCGAGAACTTTGACGTTGCCTGATCATCACTAGGGTAGACAACGTTCAGTCCGGGGTTGAAAGACTGTGTTTGTCAACATGCAGACATCTGAGTATGAGCAGAACACCCACCTGTGCATCGAACTTCGAATGCTGGACCTTGGTGGCCGAAGCCATCGCGAATCGTGGTCCTGCAGCAAACCCGCGCTGCAAACTGGCAACTAAAGGCTATAGCGTGATGTTAAAACCATCTCGTGAGGTATGCGCTCTAAGTTTAGAGAGCGTCGCGTTTTCGCTGATGGCTTGGCCCCCTGCATGTGGATTTCCTTTGAGACGTTGGGGGCCGCTTATGTTGGGGGCCAAATTACCGAAAAGGGTAAGACGCGTGAGATGGCGCACAGCCGCTTGATCACAAATGTATTGAGTGCCGAGTATCGATCGCCTGGCGCTGTTCGTGATGGCGCGGGACCGGGTAGAGGCTCGCCAGTACGCTGGGCGACGGACTCCGGCCCTCTCTTGCTGTCGCATTCCCCTCCTGTGGGAACCATGTTGTTTGTACAATGATTGACTGCTGCGAGGTCAGTAGCAGCCCTGTGAGCATCCGATAACATGCTAATACCATGTAGCAAACAATGAAATACCCAGTGCCGTTCCGCACAGCTCTGCTAAAGACCGAGAGCTCGGATGGTAGTTCAGGGCCGGAGGTACCGTTGCTGCCAGCAACATACCGGAGAAATTACAAAATCGAGCCAGTCCGCAACAACATCGGCGCGTTCTTGGATATCGAGCTGAATGTTCGCCGACTGAACGAAGTCCACAAATGGCTATGGCTTGTGGGCCTTCCAAGCGCGCCGCGACCTCTTCATTACCAAGTGGTCAAGAAACGGGAAATTGTGGTGACAGAACAGTTGGATCTGCATCTTGTTTGGTCGTCAGCGTCTTCGTCGTCGATTCTCCTCAAACCTCTGCCTCGCTTCCTTCTCTGCCCAAACTTCTGGGTCACGGAGATTTGCCCACGTCGGCACCTGTACGAGACGGCACTGGGCTTCATGCTGTCGTATGTCGCGCTCATCGAAAGGGAGGTTGACTACAATCTAGCCATCAACCACGGCCTCATTCCTAAAGAAGTCACTTGGCCTGGGTGGCTGGCGCTCGTTGGCGAGGTCGTCTGCACCTCGGTACAGACGCATACCATCGATGCGTCGGCTGCATCGTCTGTAAGCTTGCTGGAAGACCGCCCACGCGTCAACCAACGCTTCAACTATGGCGAATTGAGACTTGGGCGGCTGAACTGGATATATCGCTTGACCATGGGCGAGTTGCGCGGGTACCTAAGCGGCTGCAGCACGTATGGAGCCTTTATGCGTGACAACGTTAACAGTCTCATTACGCTATTCGCATACACTACCATCGTGCTCTCCGCGATGCAGGTTGGGCTTTCGACAGAGCCTCTCGCGAACGACTACTCGTTCGGCATGGCGTCGTACGTCTTCTCCCTCTTTTCCATCCTGGCTCCACTCGCATGCATCGTCGCTATTCTTGGTGTCATAGCCATGATGTTTGTCGTGAATCTGGCGCGCACGCTGAGGATTCGAGGGCAGAAGCGGCGTCAAGGTGTGAAGGTGTGAAAGCTCGACGCGACACGCGCCTGGCTGCTGGGAACGATGACGCGCTGCGGACCGACAGCCACCTGGGCAGGGAAGCGGCAGCCCAAACATCCCCACGAAACCTCACCAGCCTCCCGGGGCATCAACACCCACCCCACCAAAGATACCTGATGGAATCCTAGGTCGCAATAGCTCTTAGCCGTCTATAGTAGCTAGGCACCCATGCCAGGCGCCGACTGCTTGCATCAGTAACCGGATATGGGCCCACAGACGACGCAACGTATCGCGAGAATGCCCGAGGTTATCCACGCCCCACAGACATCAGTAGCGAGATTTCAAGATCGTGCACAAGCAGAAAGATGAGAACAAAGTGCCAGTAGTATAGCCAAGAAGACTCGTATCAATGGCTGTGCGCATATCTCTCTGCCCGGGCAGCAAGGGTAGCTAGATTGTGTGTCGTCTTTGCTGCATACACATCATTATATTTTAACAAGTGGCTTGCTCTTAAGACAACGTACAAGTCTACCTTGAAAAATATATCCAACACATTCTAATGTTTTTGTAAACTGCAACACGAAGTATAACCATCCCCATGAGCGAGATTCATGCGATCGCAACCCACGGTGCTACCTAGGTACAGACGGGCTGGAATAGACGCGGTAGTAGTGGTACCTAGGCACAGTATTACACAGCATCGTCTGTGACATCAAACGCTGTCAGGCAGAGTTCTGGTCGTCAGCGCATTTATTCTAGTCGTACTTCAGTACAAGCCCGCATGTGCATCGCCTGCTAGTTCGAACTCGTAGCAATTCCCTCTTCAACATCTCTAGAGCTTCAGGTCGATCGTTCATTACGTTAATACCTCGTGCTTCGAGGCGCGAAGGAGGTAGTGTGTTAGTAAAGGATCGGTGTAAGCACCAGCCGAGGAAGCTTTTATCCCGACACTTGACCTATTCCGACTCCTAGCGCTGACACTACGCCCTACATGACCGACACGGCCAGCAATCTCGAGTGTCCATCTCTAACCTCATATTTTTCGACGAAATCGCCTCAAGGCACGACATCATGAGCGACGAACCTGTAGAGCTCACCAACCTTGGAGCGTCCAAGGTTGACACCCCACCAGAGGATGCTACACCACCCGTTCAATACCCGCGTGGAATCCGCTTAGCTTTAATAACTGTCGGCCTCGCCCTTTCCATCTTTCTCGCTGCTTTAGACTCCACAATTATCGCTACCGCGATCCCGAGTATCACCACGCAATTCCGCAGCATCAGCAGCCTGGCCTGGTATGGCTCGTCCTATGCAATCACCAACACCGCATTCCAATCCGCGTGGGGCAAAGCCTATCAGTACTTCAGCCTCAAAGCCACCTTCATGTCTGCAATTGCGGTGTTTGAAGTTGGCAATGTGATATGCGCAACAGCACCAACGAGCGAGGTTTTGATCTTCGGGAGGATCGTGTCCGGCATGGGCGGTGGCGGAGTTATGACGGGTGCGTTCATCATCGTCGCAATGACAGCTGGGCCACAATATAGGGCCGCCTATATGGGTGTGTTCGGTGTGACTTTTGGGTCTGCAAGCGTCGTAGGACCGCTACTAGGTGGTGTTCTAACAGACGGCCCTGGATGGCGATATTGCTTTTGGTACGTGATTCCGCTTTGTGTTGAGGCCGCTTTGCCGCCTACGATACACTCTCCACCAAATGTTTTTCATATGAATGGAAACCAGTGAGGCATTATAAGGTCAAGGTCGGTGTGCTGACACTACACAGGATCAGTCTACCGATCGGCTTCGCTGCCGCGCTCACGATGTTCCTCTGCTTCCATGACCCAGGAAAGCCCAAGGATGTACCTCTCCGCGAGAAGCTTCTAAACTTGGATCTTAACGGCGCCATCTTGCTATCTGGTTGCTTCTCTTGCTTCATCCTAGCTACGCACTGGATTGGCATCATGCCTCCGACCAGTGCTCGTATCATTGGCAGCTTTATCGGTTTCGTAGGCCTTTTCATCTGCTTCGCGATCAACGAACGCTATATGGGAAGCTGCGCAATGGTACAAGCTCGCGTGTTCAAGAACAAGCTCGTCTTCGCCAATCTGCTATATGCTTCCTTCATCGCGGGCGCCTTCTTCCCACTCATGTATACACTGCCAATCCAGTTCCAATCCGTCAACAACAACACGGCTTCGCAGAGTGGTGTCCGACTTATCCCACTCGTCATGGGCGTCTCACTCTTCACCATGATATCTAATGGAACGCTCACCTTCTGGCGCCATTACAAGCCCTTTTTCTTAGTGGGCGCAATTCTGGCAGTAGCTGGAAACGTAAAGATACACTCCTTGGATGCCAGCACACCGACCAGGGACTGGGTCGGCTTCGAGCTCTTGACAGCCACGGGAGTAGGCCTCGCTCTTCAGATCCCGATGATTGCGAACCAAGCCCTCGTTTCTGCTGACGACTTGGCCGCTGTAACATCGATGTCGCTCTTCATGGAGAATACTGGCACCGTCTTTTCTGTCGCATCGAGTGAAGCGGCATTCACGAACGGACTGCTTTCAAGCCTCGCCCGCAACCTGCCCGAACTGGACGCGAAGGAGATAATGGATGCTGGCGCGACGCAGATCCGCGGGCTGTTCTCAGGTCATGAGCTTGATCAGGTATTGAGAGGGTATCTGGATGGCTGCAAGACCAGCCATGTCATTCCCGTAACCTGTGGCGCAGTCTGTGCGGCAATCAGTTTGTCCAACGCTGTGCCGGCGACCTTACAAGGGATAAAGAAGCGGCTTGGGAAAAGCCATGATCGATGATTACTGAGATGATATGGAAAAGGAAGCTTCAACACATTGACGATGTTTCAACAGGAAGACCAGGACTCAACGGTCCGGAGTTAGTGGAGCTCAAAGCCCGCGCCGCGATACGACGTGTTGTCACGCCTCACACGGTCTCTTGACAGAGCCCAGCGTGTTGGCCCCCGTCAAAGTCGACGTGATGGAGTTGGAAAACAGAAACCGGCAGTTGCACCGTGCTGATGTGCTGCAGTGCATTGATCGTCCCTGGCCGGCTGCCGGTGCAATAGCGGCGGGACGCGTTCCGCTCAAACTATATTAATGATATGCAACCATAGCCTATCGGTACATCAGGCGCTCAAAGAGTTTCGCGTTGTTGCTCGATGACTTTCACGTTGTTCGCGAGTCGTGAAGTAATCCACGTCGGATGAGATGTGCGCGTGGATGAAGCACGCGTGACGTAGCATAAGCTGCTAACGGAATCGGGCATAGCGTTCCCATCACGAGCCATCTACGCCCGTGCGCAGCGGCGACTCAGCCATCGCCGCGCTTATCATAACAGTCCCGTCTCTCTCGCCCTGTTGTCTCTTCTGCAATGTCCACAAATCATGCCATCAAACTCATCGACTCTTAATCATCGGAGCAGGCCCTCTACCATTCTCTTCGCCTTTGGCGTCTTCGCGCAGGTCGCGTTGCTTGCCTGCATCTTCTGGACTTACACTAGCTATGGCAACCCCCGTGAGCCGACCGCCTTAGCGGAAACCACAACTAAGATATCATCAAGGCCAAACGGCTTCACTCTGCGCCACCTTTTGGATCATGGCGCTGGACGACCTGGGCCACGAGCACGAAGATTCGATGTGACTCCAGAGCGGTTTGCCGTTGCTGGTATCGACTCCCGCATCGGGCCCTTCACTATCAAGTCGGCACCAGTCAAGATAGAAAGGCCCGCTTTACGTGGCTACGATGCACAGATCCCCATGTCGCCCATGTGGATCGCCGAGGATATTCCGGGTCCGGATGTCACGGACAAGAACACCGTTATCAGTTTCGCAAACATGTCCGAAGATGCTTACAAAGTCGGCCCTGACGACGCAGGATGGATGGACGTCGATGGGCATTACAACTCGTCGGTCCCTTTTGGCTGGGATGACAGTGGCATCCGAGGCCATGTGTTCAGCGACGACACTAACTCCACCATCATTCTGGCGGTAAAGGGAACTACGGTAGCCATGTTCGAAGGCGACGGAACGTCCGTGCACGACAAAGAGAACGACAACCTGTACGGCTCTTGCTGTTGCGGTCAGGGCGGCACATATCTTTGGCGCAAGGTATGCGACTGCCAGACTGGCACCTACAGCTGCGACGAGCAATGCGTCAAGAACGAGTTACGGAAGCCGAACAGGTACTATGCCGCAACTGTCGAGCTGTATCAGGAGGTTGTCAAAATCTATCCGGATGCACACATCATGACGACAGGGCACAGTCTAGGAGGCGTCCTCGCTTCTCTGATCGGCCTGCAGCACGGGATCCCCGCGGTCACGTTCGAAGCCTACCCACAAGCCTTGGCAGCTAAGCGCTTGGGACTACCAGCTGCTGGTGATGTGGCTCCACTCAGGAAGAACACAGGTGGTTTCCATTTCGGACATACCGCTGACCCTGTGTACATGGGAACTTGCAACGGTGCGACAAGTTTCTGCTCTATTGGCGGATACGCCTTCGAGACCCTCTGCCATACCGGAAAGAAGTGTCCATACGACGTGGTCAAAGACTGGGGTTGGAGGCAGAACACACAGACACACAGCCTCAGATACGCCATTGACAACGTGTACATGAAGTACGATGAGGCAGCAAAATGCCAAGAAGAGGATGTTGGTTGTGTCGATTGCTACCTATGGAAGTTCGAGAACGGGACGAAAACCACGACAACGAGTACTTCAACAATACCAACAAGTACCACGTCTTCGAGGACGCGGACGGAGACATGCAAGACGCCTGGGTGGTGGGGATGTCGTGATGAGAGTACTACGATGGTATCAACTACATCGTCCAGCATATCAAGTACTGCAACCAGCACAAGTACAAGTACCTGTCAAACAGTGAGTTCCACAACCTCAAAACAGTGCGAATATGACTGACTCCTTGAAGCCCGGATGGTTCGGCTGCAAAGACAAGACCACAGCTACCGGTCCTATTACGACTGCTACGACTACTACTACATCAGCTGCACCGACAACCACTTGCACCTCGAAGGGCTGGTTTGGCAGGTGTTATGATGACGTTCCAGCGACAACCACTCCTGCCATGCAAGCTCATGCCTACTGGCGGACTGCGGCGACTGCGACACAGACGGCTCCTTAGACTTTCAGAATCTTGCATATGTTATATGGGTATCTTTCAATAGCATGGTATACCCATTTAGAATTACCAATCAATCATCTTCGTTGCTACTTATCATCACGCGAAGCAATATTGTTGCATGATTCCGCCATCAGGTGAAGGCGCGAAGGATCAGTAACGTTTAGGCTAAACCCGATTTATGTGAGCCGTCTTTCGTATCTCTAGGCAGCCATCATCCAGCGTGTTCAAAAGGAAAACACACATAGCACAGCTTGGGCATCAAACAAGCTTCCTTAGCCTTATACAGAATGCTTGACTTTGACTTCCACCTCACAACACCTCGTCTTTTCATATCTCACCTTGACCCTGAGAATGATACTCATTGCGATTTCGCCTACGAGCTAGTATTTAGCCCAGGTCCCGCTGAGCAGAAGCCCGCAGTCGACACGGAGAAGACAAAGATCACACCCCCTCGCGATGTTGGTAAGAACTTCATCGCGAAGGATGTTGAGAGGATGGAGCAAACAGGCTATGGTCGTTACCTGGTCTCGCTCAGACAAAACTCGGCTTTGAACATCAATTCACCGCACGAAGACGAAGACGTCCCTTTCTCGAAGAGACGACTAACGCCAATCGGCATCGTGTCAATGCAACTCGCGCGCTTCCCGTCCGAACCGTCCGCACCAACGATCCCAGATGTCGGGTTCACTTTCCTCCCCCGGTACCTTGGAAACGGGTACGCTACTGAAGCTGCAGCGGGCTTGATGGAGTACTACACAGACGAGAAAGGACTCAAGGAGTTTTGCGGTTTTTGCAAACCGGAGAATACAGCAAGCGCAAATGTTCTGAAGAGGTTGGGGTTCGAGGAGAGGGGTCTAAGGGAGGTAGATGGTGTTGTTGACGGGGAGATATTGAGCGCGTTGGTCTGGACAATTGGCGTTGGGCATGAGAAGGGCGCGCTTGAGAAGCGAGGCTTGCAACGCGTTGAGAAGCGTTCATGGAAGTGGTGGCGTTGAAGCTATTGGGCAGGTGTATACATGACATGTCCCTTCGCTAGACGATTAGCTCAGAAGACACTACTATACAGCATGCCCAACACAATCGCGATCATGCGCAGGTGTAGAAGAATTGTCCGATGAACGCGGTGCCGGACAGATGATCGGAAAGAGTCCGCGCGATGACGTCTGTGCTTCGGCCCAAGTCTTAGCGCAGTACAAGCCCGTCTTCAGCCGAAGCTCGCATCCGTCCGACGCTTCAGCTTCGTCGGATGTTCCGTTCAGCGTTTCCTTTCACCACAGCGTGCAGCCGCGCGCCTTGGTAGCCGGTTGCTAACTATTCGCACTCAGCTGACGCTACATTGTTCCACGAGATGTCAACACCGGATGGATTGGCAACGACGCGTCCGGAGAAACGGCGTCGACTTGAGCGCGTCGCTGCGGCCTGCGATCTGTGCAAGAAAAGAAAGGTAAAGTGCGACGGTGAGCAACCATGCGCGTATTGCACTCGAAAGGATCGCGCGGCTACTTGCACGTTCAGTGGTCATCATGCGCGCCCACAAGCGCATTCTGCCGGTCACACTCCCCTTCACGGCGTCCGTTCCGACGATGTCCACCGTCCTCACCCCCGTTCTACGATCCATACACCTAATAATCGCGATCGCGATGAACAGGACGGTGCTGCGCGACAAAGACTTGATCGTGAAGCTGCCGAGGATGAAGCCACACTCTCGCCAACATTGAGCAGAGATGAACAGCAGGGCGATACAGTGGTGCCTCTTGAAGGCCGCATCCTCCGTGACGCCCAGGGAAAATCCATCTTTATCGGCGACTGCGCCCCGCTGTCTTTCCTGCAGACAGTCAGGCATCTCATCACATCCGAGGTGGACCCAAGAGCTACTGTTCAAGCTACACGCGACCCCATCATTGAGATCGCTCGGCCTGATTCAGCAGATCAACATTCATGTCCTCCCATTGACGTGCATCAAGTCGACGAACTAGTCGACGAGTTCATGGCTGCAAGTAGTGGCCTCGTTCAGCTCTTCCAACGAGAGGATCTCGCTCCCGAACTGAAAGCATGGGCATGCAGCAGAAATTCGAGTTCAGACGATGCTGCAGCTGCCGTCTTCTATCTGGTCCTTGCGATCGGCGCCCAAGAGCGATTCGAGGAAAAGGCAGAAGCCTGGTTCAATACTGCTCGGGATGTGCTTTTGAAGCATATGTGCAGCAGCATGAACGTGTCCACTGTTCAAGGCTTTGCCCTCGTAGCCATCTACATGCTCCGAGCATCTCAACCGAATGGAGCCTACTTATACTTCTGTATGTGGAGTAAGGATGAACTAGCAGTACATAATACGCTAACTTGTTTCAGCCCTGGCTGCGCGTGCCGCATACGCAATCGGCATACACCGAACGGAAGTGAACGCATCCTTTGGCGAAACCATCAAGCTGGTGCGAGACCGGATTTGGAAGAGCATTCGCGTCACCGACCAATTGATAAGGTAAGATACAACCACAGATGTCCTCAACCAAAGTCTCATACGTTGCGGAGTCACCACAGCTTCGCTCTGGTAGCATATGCTGATCCTCTGCTTCCCCATGTAGCAACGCATTAGGCCGCCCTCCGTCCACATCAGATGTCGATTGCACCGTCAAATACAACACTTTTGCAGACAACACCGAAACCGATGATGCCAATATACTGGATGCCAGCGTACAGATCTTCATGATTATCGAGCGTGTCGTCGTTGAAGTGTATTCTCGCAAACGTATATCATTACGCATTGCAGACTATGTTTCGCGACAGTTGAAGAGCTGGGCGTCCAAATGGCTGCAGAAATTATCTCATCTTACGACCAGACCTCATTCTCGAGAAGCCGTAGTGGGTGCCTGCTCCACGCTCTGCTCCTATTACTACGGCATCATGCTACTCACTCGACCTTTCCTCATCTACGAGTTATATGAGTACATGGGCGCTCCTCTAAAGAGCGGAGGCTCACAAGCTGATCACCAAGAGAAGCGCAAGTACGCAGATGCTGCACTTGATGCCGCGTCGACGTTAGTGGATACACTGCTAGTCGTTACGATTACAAAGCAGTTGCCTCGTAAGATGCCACTGATAGTGTAAGTGAAGCCGTCTTGACCAACTGACTCGGCTAACAAGTATGAGATCCTGGCTCTTCACAGCTACACTCGTTCTTGCCGTCGGCATCCTTGGCGACGCAGGACTCATGTTAGTGGACAGCTGCAAAGATGCAATCACTTGCATGGACTACTTCGGTCAAGTCGACCCTCATGCCCGGCAGTATTCACAGGTAGCACAATCACTGCTCAAGATCACCACTGCACATGCCAAGAAGAGAGAGCTGCATTTGCGCCGGAAGAGGAAGCAAGCATCGTCGGAATTGTTTGGCCTATTGCCTGGAGAGTCAACTAACATTCCGGCCCAAGTGGACGAATGCGACGCACAGCTCGGCCACGGGTCGCTGGTCTCCCGAGACTCCGTGCAGCGCCACGTGTCTTCCGCAGCGCCACTCGATTGGACTATATACGATGCCGACTTCTTTGCCATGCCATGGCCGAGTGAGAACGATCAGGGTCTCCAGGATTTCCTGCAGCCGGGCACTCACAATCTTGATGGCGTATCCGTGGCTGACATACCGCTTTTCCCCATCCACGACCAGCAGATGGGCGGTGACTTCTTCCCGTAAGTTCGAGATGGATGCGATGGCGTCACGAGTGGGTTTCTTCTTCAAGGTCTCTCCCAAGACACTTCAATGCACGACTTTTGTTTCACTAGTCTCGTCTCTCGATGTTCTCAGAAACGGTATCAGCTTGGTGCCTCCAGTTCCGACCAACTCTTGCGTCTTCGGCTTTTCGGCCGCCAACTCCGTCGAGGCGGAGGCTATATCTCGTCTCTTGGGACCGGTAGTGGGTTTTCCCAATCGGCTCGGTATGATGATGTACCTTGTCACCAAGGCGATGTGTTTGTCGCGGAAGCCGCTGAGCGCCGCGACGGCTTCGTTGAATGCGGTCAGAAGCTCAGTGTTGTCTGCATGGCTATCGACGTAGCTTCGGATGTTTGCGATCGCTTGAACGTCGTCAAGAAAGCGGGCATGGGGTCCGGGCATGTACCCGCGCATCTCTGCGTGAAAGCCGCCACTCCTCGAATGGTCGACGGAGAGGACCGCGTCGAAGAACTGCAGCAGCGAAGACTGGCCGTTAGAACCACCACGGTACGCGCGCCATGTACCTTTTCCGTTACCTTCGTCGTAGAACACGCCGTTTGGTAGACCGGCACTCGCCATGTTCATGCTCCCAGCCAGGAAAGGCCGGATGGTATGGTAGAACATCTGCGGGTCACACCGCTCGTCCATGCGTTCCAAGAGCTGGCCAATGCGCTGCATTCCCTGTCGGAAGTATTGCAGGGCGTGTATGATCGTTGTGGCATCATCAGTCTCGACAGCTTCAATAGCACCAAGCATGGCCTCAATCAACGGGCCTGCTCTTGCTTCCATGGCATTCGAAATAATGAAGAACCACGACTCATCATCGGTTCCCGTCGCTGTGTGTAGTGCAACCATGTTTTCCGGTTGCGTCAGGTCGGCGTCATCGTTGAGTGGTGTCCAGTTCCATAAGTTCAGAGCTGCATATGTGGCCACTGGATGCACCTCAAGATAGTCGGCAGACTGAAGGAACGGCACAGTGATCGCTGGGGGTAGTCGCTAGCTTCCTTGTTAGCGACTGGAGACTTTACGGTACTGCGGTTTGATGCTCACACACCTCTGATGGCTCGGGACCTGCCCATATGTAGCCCTGGGCTATGACAGCGAGCATCGAGTGTGCTCTCTGCCATTCTGCCTCACTAGAGAGATGCGACGTATCGAGAACGGGCAATTCATCGACCCATTGCCGTATCTGCTGTGTCTCTATGAGGATTGGAAGTTTCTCAACGATCTTTTCCCATGGTTGATAGTAGGTATGCGGTAAGCGTCTTAGTGGTGGCTCGGCAGGTAAGAACCCGTTCTTTGAGATGCCGTAATTAGGGAGCGCATCGGGTGATGGAAGGACGGGAATCTTGTGAGGACTCATTGCGGCGGAAAAGGTAGCGACGGTTGGGTTGCACAGTAATATCGGAAGGGTACGTCCTTCCTTGTAGCAGCGAACTCCTGCTTTATTGCGCTGAAGAGCGAGGTCCACACCCAACCCACGGTTGCGTTCCGACAGTCTTCCGAGCTCGGAATGACGGAAGCAATGTCGGATGAGAGTCCGACACCCCAATGAAGAAGGTGCAAGCTTAGTTTGACGCAAGCCTCAAGCCTCTTGCTTAGAGACGTAATGGCCAGATCGTGATGCATATATAGTCTGACGCCGTCATCTCAGTATCATTCTGACATTCGTACATCACATTACATCTCATCTCGTTGGTTCCCCAAGACATACCCTAACCGACAGCACATCATCACCATGGACGCACCTGCCGCAATCCAACAGCTTCGCCAAGGGCAAAAGCCACAGTGGCCAACAAACGCCGAATCAGCAGACTTTGCGCATTCGCTCGACCAAAGTGCAGACATTCCCAAGACGTTCCGACCCGAGTTTGTTGTTCCCAGCAAGGCGCAACTAAAGCGGAAAACCCTGAACGATGACGCACAAACCGCCAACCCTGCATCAACACCAGACGACGAGGCCATCTACTTCTGCGGCAACTCCCTGGGTCTGCAACCGAAAGCTGTTGGCGAGCACTTGAACGCATACCTAAAGACATGGGGATCCATCGCGGTTGGCGGTCACTTCACCGCCCTCGAGGATTCGCCGCTCACACCCTACCAAGACATGGCTGCTGGTTGCTCAAAGAAGATGGCTGACATCGTCGGAGCATCACCTTCGGAAATCGTTGCCATGAACACATTGACCATCAACCTGCACCTGATGATGGCTGCATTCTACAAGCCGACAGAGAAGAAGCACAAGATTATGTGCGAGTGGCGACCTTTCCCCAGCGACTGGTATGCGATCGAGTCGCAAATAGAATGGCACGGTCTTGACCCGAAGAAGTCTATGCTACTGGTCGAGCCGGACGACGGATACATAATGACCACAAAGAACATCCTCAGGCTAATCGATGAGAATGTCGATGAGCTGGCGCTCATCATGCTGCCCGGTATCCAGTACTACAGCGGCCAATTACTCGACATCCCCACCATCACCGCACACGCACGCAAGCACAACATCACCATCGGATGGGATCTGGCACACGCTGCTGGGAACGCCGAGCTAAAGCTACACGACTGGGATGTCGACTTTGCATGCTGGTGCACGTACAAGTACATGAACGCCGGTGCCGGTTCCATTGCCGGTGCTTTCATCCACGAGAAGCACGGTAACAACGACCACTACAAGGGGCTGAAGGGCTGGTACGGCCACGACAAGTCATCACGCTTCCTCATGGACAACAAGTTCGTTCCTACACCCGGCGCGCAGGGCTTCCAATGCTCAAACCCATCGATCGTCGACCTCACATGCTTAGCCGGTTCGCTCAGCCTCTTCGAGAAGACATCCATGGCTGACCTGCGATCGCGATCTCTGCTCCTCACCGCATACGCTGAGCACCTCCTCGCACAGATCGCGGCGCGCAACATCAAGGACGGCAAATTCCCCTTCGAGATCATCACACCCACAGATCCCCGCTTCCGCGGCGCTCAACTCAGCGTACTGCTACCAGAAGACGTCTTTGACGATGCAAGCGCGGCGCTAGTGGAGAATGGTGTTGTCTGCGACAAGAGGAAACCAGGCATCATTCGTGTTGCGCCGGTACCAATGTACAACACCTTCAGTGATGTTTGGCGGTTTATGCAGATCTTCGAGGAGGCGATACGGGAAAAGGGTCAAGGGCAGCCTCAGGAGCAGCAGTCGCAAGGGACGGCGGTTGAGGCGAGGTTGTAGAACAGTAATGACTTGTTGGATATTCTTTTAGCAGCGTTAGACGTTAATGCACATCACAAAATCTGTGTCGCTACTCCACTAATACTTCAATATATTTCTACAGCGCTTGCTATCCAACATTCAGCTCCATAAATGGGACTGGGCACGCTTTTTTGAGTGTGTCTTTCACTCACACACAACAAACACCTTGCGCTCGGGTATTTTCCACGCACACAGTCCAGGCAACACTCGTTCACCTTATTTCGCAACGAAATATATCCGGAACAAAGTTGGACCGCTCGAAAAGCTTCACGGAAGGTCATTCCCTACACCTTGATTTTCTCCGCCCGACACCACGACTACGATCAAACGAGCAAGATGGCGGAAGCTGCTCAGAAGCAAGTACTGACCTCACTCAAAGGGTATGTTTCAATACAAGCTCACTTTCTTTGAGCTTTCTATTGCATCCACGTTATACTAACTCGCTGCCAGCTTCCTCAAATCCGGCGCCTACTCCGATCTCACCATCACTTCCGGTAGTGACACCTTCAATGTCCACAAGGTCATTGTCTGCGAGCGCGCCGAATTCTTTGCCCGCACGCTGAAGTTCGGTGGGAAGGTGAGTGTTTGAGTCATGAGAACGGAGCAGAGACTGATAGCCTACTAAGGAATCTGAGAGTGATATCATTGATCTTCCTGAGGATGAACCGGCTATTGTTAAGCTTCTGGTTCAGTACCTCTACGAAGGCGAGTACGAGCCGTTGCTGCCAGACGGCAAATCTTCACTAGCTCTATCATCAGTCGATCTAAAGGAATCTCGCCCAAAACACGATTCGAACGGAACGCCCTACAACTATAACTTCCCACATAGCTGTACTTCACGCAACAGTTATTGCCATCAATCCTATGTCTGCCCACATCATACGTGCTCAGGCGGTAACGGACGTTGCCGTTTCAATTGCATCAAGTTCAACTGCGAAGAATGCAACCCTTCGGTTCCTCCACTACCTCTGCTCAATGGCAAAGCCGATCAACTCCTCCTCCATGCCAAAATGTACGAGTACGCCGACAAATACGACGTTGTCGGACTCAAGGATCTGGCCATCGAAAAGTTCATCCGGTCATGTAAGCACTTCTGGAATGAGGACGAGTTCTCCATCGCCGCTCACCATGTCTTCTCCACCACCGTCGACACAGACCTGGGCCTCCGCGACATCGTCAGTGCCACGATCTGTGCACACATGGGACTGGTCAAGAAGCCTGAAGTCAAGGTCCTCATGACCGAGTTCAACGGCCTTGCTCTAGGTATCTTGGAGTTGAAGATAATTGAGCATGGTTGGTAGAGAGACGTAGTATACTTCTACCAAGTTCCCCTAGATCTTGAGACACATTAGCATTTGATAGAGCGGCATTGGAGGTGTTCAACAAGGGAACGGGTGATATATAATCGCTTGGAACTCTTGGAAGAACAGAGCAACTAAAGGCCTGCACATCATATCCCTGGCTGCAAGCTACCATGACTAGCATTCATAGCTCAGAATTTATTCGTGGTTCACGTCTAACTCACTCGCCAAACTATGATGTTCCGTTCAATACTCGCCCTTCAGAATAAGCTCTTAGTCAGCTTGACGATTAGCAAACACATGTATTTTATGGATGGGCAGGAGGTCGAAGCTCTGCTCATAGAGTTCAACGGGTTGGCGGTCGGCTTCCTGAAGTTGATGAGGAAGACAGGTTGAGTGATTGGCGTGAGCTAGATCATGGGAAATCCGGTGATTCTGATATGGCTCCAAAGGTGTAGAAGAGTAGAACGTGCGAGAAGCAGATGTATCGTGAAACCTCTGCGGGCTTAAGATGGGAAACTCGAGCAAGATGTAAACTTGCGCACAATCGATGTGCTATGCGATGAGATATTCAGTAGCCCCAAATAAGAGCCAGGTCATCCGCTCCCTCTTCTTCATGCGATATCAGCGCTCATAGCCTCCTCATCAACCGCTTCTAATTGCCCATTTGTTCAGTCATGCGTATATGCATGCTTACGTATCCTTGACGACACTGTCAACTTTAGTTCACCTTCACTTCGCAATTGACTACACCCGGAAGAAAGTCGCGCCGACCGTAAAGCTTTAGGGAGAACCTATCTGGTGCCCTCTACCTCTTGAGCTTCCTCACTCACCCAACACCGCAATCGCGATCAACGCAAAGATGGCGGAAGCTGCGCGCAATCAGCTGCATCTCACTTTCAAGAAGTACGCACATAAGCACTGAACAGAAACACATTAAACTAACAACCCATAGTCTGCTCGCCTCCGGTGAATTCTCTGATCTCACTGTGACCTGCGGCCCGGACTCATACAAGGTTCACAAGAATGTGGTGTGTTCCCGTGCGGAGTTCTTCTCTCGCGCTGTCAAGTTCGGAGGCAAGGTACGTCGCGTCGTCTGTGTTTCTTCCACTTGAAGCCCTGCTGACTTGGATACAGGAGACTGAACAAGGCAGTGTCGATCTTCCAGAAGATGAACCCGCTATTGTTAAGTTGATGATGCAGTACATCTACGAAGGCGAATACGATCCTACACTTCCCGACAATAGGTTGAGCAATTCTATGCAGCCCGAGGTCACGGCATCTTCCACCCCCACGGCATCGCAAAGCAGAAACCGTATGAAATCTCGATTGAAGGAATTATCCGAAACGACGCTTTCATTTCCTCACGATTGTATATCATATGGAAACGGTTGCGAAGCACCCTATTTATGCAGCCACCATACCTGTGGCTATCAGTGCCACCACACATGTCGTGGCTTCACCTGCGGATTGTGCTATGTCGCACCTACAGCGCCTACAGCCCTGCCTATCCCCGGCTCGCCTACACAGCTGATGGTCCACGCTAAGCTCTATGAGATCGCCGACAAGTACGACGTGGTAGGCCTAAAAGAACTAGTGATCGAAAAGTTCAAGCGGGCTTGCCACAGCTTCTGGAACGATCCCTCCTTCGCAGCTGCGGCTCATCACGTTTTCTCCACCACCCCGGAACATGACAAAGGTCTGAGGGACATTGTGTCGAAGACCATTGCGGAACACATGACTGAGCTTGTGAAGAAGCCTGAGGTTGAAGCTTTGCTTACTGAGTTCAATGGACTGGCCTTTGGCTTGCTCAAGATGAAGACGGAGGCTGGTTGGAAGTGATCGACTTGACTATGGCTGCCCGAGAGTTGGAGAAAGAACGCGCTAGGAGGGATCAAAGACGGTATGAGGACCATGATCTGAACCACAAGGCGAAAAGAGGTTAAGAAGCATATAAGTGATTCGGCTGCTGGATACCTGAAGAGTAGTCAACCAAACAAAATACACAAGTGCTACACTTCTGTTCGCGATAGCACCGGGTACGTAAGAACACGCCTGGTTATGCAACGCCATATCCATGACTCCTAACAACACCTATTCCGGATATACTACCTAGTCCTCATTCCATGCACATACATCGTTTCGTCACCCCACGAAAGCACATTCATTCCTCATGTCCCCATTTACTGCAACCTCACCTCCCCCTCCCCAGTCTTAATCCCAAACTTACTCAACCTAATCCTCGGCACAACCCCCACCAGCACCAACACACTCGCAACAATAACAGCCCAATGCTGCACATGCGCCAAGTTCAAATTATACGTCGTCCACGTCGCCGCGCAAATCGTCGCCAGCCCCAGTACCGCAATAACATACCCAGCCATCCTATGATACTTATAAATACTCTTCGCGTTCTCCACACTGCCATACAGCTGCGGCACATAATACTGCGTGAACCCCACAATCGCCTGGATGTACACGAGGATATAAAAGGTGAGGCCGAGACGCGCGTGCGCGGATTCAAAGTGTTCGTGGCCGGGGCCGGCTTTGTTCATTTCGATGATGATGAGGCCGGCGGTGAGGGCGGAGGCGCCGAGCGCGTGAAAGAGGAAGTGGGCGAGGGTGCCGGCGCGCTTTTGTTCGGGGGTGTGGGTTGGTTGCAGGACGAGGGCTGCTTGGATGGCTAGGAGGAAGCCGGCCTAGGGGGTATCAATGATACGGTTGGCGGGAGGGGGTGATTAGGGTGGTGTTGTGGCTTACGGAGTTGAGAAGCTGCGTGGTTGGGTGGTTAGTTGGTGGTGGGCGAGGTTTGGGGCGTGGGCATGGGGCTTACTGGGTGGGCGGAGAAGAAGATGAGTTTGTTGGAGAAGATGGCTCCCCAGATGATGGCTGCGAGCTTTTGACGCGTTAGTATGGGCGTGGTATGCGAGGTGTTGAGGTGCTTACGATCCATATTCCTGCTTGCGCGATTGGAGCGGTGCCTGAGTCTGTCAGAAGCCTCCCTTACAGCGTATGCTTGACAGCACATACCAATCCACAGATTATGGTAGAGAGGCTGCCCGTGCATCTGGCTGGCATCTCCTCTTCTGCCTAGAAGCGGCTCTTGTTCACTCTGTCCGCGCGCCGCGGCGGCATTTGGTGGGATTCCCGTCGCAGAAGCCATGCTGTGATGTAGAAACTCAAACGCGATGCTTTGAATAGCCTGAGACTCGAGAGAAGGTCGAGATATAGTGGCAGCCTGCGACAGGTGTCCGAGGGGTGCGCTTCGGACTTTAGGCGATGAGGAAGGTCCGGCAGACAATGACGACAACACGAACCCCTGTTCGTATCCACCAATTAGCGCGATGCGGATGTCAGATGCATCCAACTCCGGCCAATCAGCGCCGAGATGACTAAAGCGTGGAGAAAGTGGTGATGTTTGCATTGCGGGTTTTGGGGGGTGGAGAAGGCGTTCTTGACGCGAGATGCATGTCTAGCGCGTCCACAACGGTCGCGTGAGACATCTTCATCGCACCACCAGACGCAAATGAGGAAGCTGAGCATCGGTATTGGTGGTTTGAATATATTCTCGTCTCCGTTACATCGTTGCTATTGTACAAGTTCGCGCTCATCCGTAGCGCTGCGTCAGCATAGTCATCCCCGCTGCGTGTTGAGGTATCAAGTCCATGTATAATATCCCCCCTCTTTCTATCCCAAGGCAGAGTTTGCTGCCATAATGCCGCCTAATGAACCATACCACGGGGAATCATCCTCCACCAGCTGCCTTCGCTCCAAAGTAACAATGCGCCTTCAAATGCTCATGCATTCGCCTTGAAAACATTACATCCATTAACAATCCAACTGCATAACCAAACTAAGGATATGAGATGCGAGAAGCATCCCAAGTAACAACCAGCGCCTCTAGTGCGATGGTAGTAACGTGGACCACTGTCATGTCCCGTGTGCCTAGTAGCACGTCCAGTGTCTCCCCAACTGCGCCGTTCGCTGATGCAGGTAGGAGCGAAATCGAGTACCCTGCCTCGATACAATGTGTACGTGTGCGTAAAGGTAAAGTCCCCCACTCTCACTTCTTCTTCATGAGAGCGGGCTGTTTCGAAGGGTCGGCCGGATCCAGGAACTTGGTCATGGCAAGAGAGAGTTCCTTGAACTCCACCGGCTTCGTGACGTAAGAGTTGAAGCCTGCTTCCACGCACTTCGCGTAAACATCACCGAGGACGTTCGCAGAGAGCGCGATGATAGGGTGGCGGCGGTAGCTATGCTTCTTCTCCCATCGCCGTATTTCTTTGCAGGCTTGATACCCGTCTTTGTTGGGCATGTGTAGATCACACTGGATGGCGTTAGTGCTGTCCGAAAGAAACAGACGTTACTACTTACGAGAATGATCGAGTAATAGCCGGGTGGCTTTGCAAAGACGGTCTCGGTAGCTTGGACACCATCCTGTACCGTTTCTGTTTCAATGTCGATCCTGGCAAGGAATTTCAAGATGACCTGAAGACTATCAGTATGCGCAAGAAGTTACATGTAGAGGACACTAACCGTTTGGTTGATCTTGTTGTCTTCGACCAGCAAGACCTTGTGGTTCTTGCCACCCACGCGACGCTTGAGTTCTTCAAAGACGAGCTTTTGGCTGACAACGACCTGCTGTGCGCTGTCTTGATTGCGATCCGTGCTAGACTCACGCTCCTTCTGTGGGTCGAAGATGATGGCAAACTTCGAAGGTTTGAGAGGCCGGTAGATGAACTGCAGGCGTCGATCCATGTGAAGCTGCTCATAGTCATAGACTGGAGCTTCTTTGATGAGCTCCTTCTTCTGCGACGGGTCAGAGACTACGACGACAGATGTGTTACCATACGCCATGGAGCTGAAGATCTGGTCCACGATGGCGTGCACCTCGGCCGTGTCGTGCAATACAAGAACAACGTGGGTAAATAGTACAGGGTTGTCGCCACCCATCATCTTCTGCGCCTCGATGACGCTGGCCTGACCCGTCACTTGATGAGGTATTCCCTGAGGAAGCGTGTTCCTGATGTGTCGGATCGTAGCTTCCCTACTATGCTCCAATGGGCACACCACCAGAATAGAATACATGGGAGGTTGTAGAGCACTGCCAAGCGGTGACAGACTACGATGGGGTGAAGACGCACGGAGGGTCTTGTCCGAATCAATGGAGGTGGAAGAGTCGGGCTTGGGGGCTTCCTCGCTATCGGTTCGTTTGGGTGGCAGAGCTAGTTTTATATCCGGGTCTGAAGCTGGGCTGGCCTCTTGCAGGTACGAAGACGCAGAAGATCTTTCCGAACGCAAGCTTGACTGTCCAGTAAGAGCGGCACTTGTCAAAGAGTGATCCGAGCTACCAGAGGAGAGGGACGGAGAGTCGCGCGAACGCTCAGAGGCTGACAGACTAGATGCAGGCGACCTGACAGGTTCGCTCTTGTCCGAAGAGACGCTTGATACACGCTTGATCGGTGCTTGGCTAGGATTTTGTGACTGAACAAATTTCTGAAGAGCCGAGGGCTGGGGTAGTGGAGGCACTGCTGGCACTGCGAGCGGTGTCTCAAAAGCTGGCGTGCCTGGTGTCGACACCTGCGGCCTGGGGAAGTCGTCGGCAGTGGGAAGCCCAAACTTGATCGTGAAGAAGAAAGTCGAACCCTTGCCTGGCGCACTTCGTGCATCCATTCTACCTCCATGTAGCTCCACGAACTGCATAGAGATAGCCAAGCCGAGTCCTGTTCCGCCGTGTTGCCGGGTACTGCTGGCGTCGATTTGACTGAATCGCTTGAACAGGTACTTGGCCTCAGCATCTGTGAAGCCTTGACCGGTGTCCACCACTTCGAACCGAACCATGGTCTCGTTATCTCGCAGGGGCCGAGATCGATCGGGTGGTTGCAATCTGCATCGGATAAAGATCTCTCCTCGCTCGGTGAACTTGATTGCATTGCCAACCACATTAAGAAGAACTTGGCGAATGCGGAACTTGTCACCCTTGACCTCTGCTGGCACACCTTCGTCCACAAGGTAGTTGAGTTCAAGGCCTTTCTGTATGGCTAAGCCCATGTTCAAGTCATTGACCTCTTCAAGAAGCGACGGCAGATGGAGCCATTCCATGGACAGCTTGATCATACCGGCTTCGACCTTTGACAGATCGAGAATGTCGTTGATGAGGTTCAGCAGACTGTCGGTACTAGCTTTTATGATGTTGACATGCTCCAACTGCTCAGAGTTGAGCGTGCTGTCAAGCAGGAAGTTGACCATGCCGGAGATACCGTTCAGAGGAGTACGGATCTCATGAGACATGTTACTGAGGAACTTGGACTTTGCATCCATGGTTTCCTTCAATGTCTGCTCGAGCAGCTTGTGGTCATTGATGTCGGTAGCTGTGCCATACCAGGTCTCTTCATCGCCGTCTTCAGAGAGTGAATTCTCTAACAAAATCCTGACCAGATGCCACCTGTAGTCACCGTCTTTGTTGCGAAGTCGCACTTCGGTGGAATAAGATGCCCGTCCATCTGCATCCTTTGCAACCCTGAGAATACCAGTGCTTGCTAGTTTGGACAACTTGGCCTGAGGCATGTCCATGCGGTCTGGTACTGATCCACCTGGGCTGGTGATTGTTCGCTCAGTCTCCGATGAAGCGTCCGATGAGTTTGAGTCGGTTCTACCGTGATCTGCTGGCATCGAAGTGGGCACATTGGCGACTCCGTGTTCATCCAACTCGGGAAGCTTGCACTTGACAACGTCATCAGGGTGCACATGCTCCAAGAAGCCGTTGCCCAGGGCATGAATCTCACTTTGGCCAGAGAAAGAAATCCACTGCGAATTGCAGAACGTCAAACCCCTGCGATCTG